GCCGTACTGCACGAGCTGGTAGCACTTCCTGTTCCCATTTAGTAGCAGTTCATCATCTTAGGGAATGGAATAGTCCCGATTTCGGGAAGAAGCGTTTTGCGCAATAGTATACAAGGACGTAAAGTATTCCCTTAGCGGTGGTCTGAAGGTGATGCGAGTATACCTAAGATTGGAACATAAGCACCCATTGGTATCATCCAGTAGTAAAAGTTCGGAACTAAGGAGAAACCCCCACTAATAGCACTTGAGGACCGAACGCTCCCTATAAATAGTAGCCTCTCAGGGCCTAAGGGTACTCCCTATAGTTGCCCTTGAGGAACTTATGGTACCCTTCTATAGTAGTCCTTCAGAACCTAAGGGTACCGCCTTATAGCAGCGCGTGAGTACCTAAGGGTACCCCCCTAAAGTAGCCCTTGATGACCTTTAGATGCTCCCTTATAGTAGCCGTTGAGCACCTAAGGATACCCTCCAATAGTAGTCCTTGAGGACCTAAGAGTACCCTCCTATAGTAGCCCTTCAGGATCTAAGAGTACCCTCCTATATTAGCCCTTCAGGATCTGAGGGTACTCTCCTATAGTAGACCTTCAGGACCTAAGGGTTCCATCCTATAGTAGCCCTTGAGGACCTAAGAGTAACCTCCTATAGTAGCCCTTGAGGACCTAGAGTACCATCCTATAGCAGCCCTTGAGGACCTAAGGGTACCTCTACAAAAAGTTCGGTTCACTCAAATGAGCTCTTCGGGCAGTTCAGCTCATATGAACTGAGCTGTTTCAAAAGTTCGGTTCGCTCAAATGAGCTGCTCGAACAGTTCAGCTCATATGAAATGAGCTGCCCAAAAAAGTTCGGCTCGCTCAAATGAGCTTTTCGAACAGTTCAGCTCGCTCAAATGAGCTATTCGAACAGTTCAGCTCGCTCAAATGAGCTTTTCGAACAGTTCAGCTCATTTGAAACGAACCGTTTGAGAAAGCTCAGTTCGCTCAGATGAACTGTTCCAGCAGTTCAGTTCATCTCAGTGAGCTTTTTATACAGCTCATTTTTTTGTGAGCTTGAGCTGAGCGTGTAGCCCCCTAATAGTTTTCGTGCGATTGAATAGACAAGTTTATTTGTTCAACATTAGGAGATGGAAAGATAATAATTCAAATTTTATCTTGAACTATACGTCTGAAACTCCTCTATCTACATCAGATGTTAGATTCAAAATTTCATTGGAATGACAGATTGTTTTCATGCAGTTTTTTTTAATGTTTTGTAGAAATGACTGATTTTTAAATGATTTTGTCCTATACAATATTGGAGAAAAAGGTGCCCTTTGTCTCCCCTTTCTATTGGTGAAAACCGCAGGGCTCTAGCTAACTTCGTTCAAAAGTCATAAGCTTTCTGCCGGTGGCCTTCTTTTAGAATTCCGATAATAGTTATTTGCAGAAATCTTGATTTGAATTTATAGGAAGATTTCCTCAGAGTCAATTTGTTCAAGTTTTCTGCAAAGAGGACTTTGGCATGATATGTAAATAAGAAACGTCCATTTTGAATTATGTATTACTTCAGTTTTTATTCTTTGTGGAACCAACACGACAGTGAATTTTCTATTGAAACGTATTCGATTTTCAGCTTTTTTCACTTTAATAATAAAGAAAATTTCAATGCGCAACGTTTCATGTCGTTATCATCGAAATCGTCTCAATTTTATATGATAAATGCACACGGACTTACGTGTCACTCCAATGTATCATCTTTGGTCGCGCGATGAAGTCACACTAGGATATCTACCTATTTTTCAAGCAAAACCACAACACACCATTATGAAAAACTATTCTTCTCTAGCAAATTTACTTCGTAGACCTTCTTTAATACATTCATGGAAAGAAAAGTATGAATTACAATACGTATTTGTTGACTATATGACGGTGTACAACACTCACAATAGTCTGTACAATGTGTGCTGTGTACTGTGGTGACAGCTCTCTTTATCTTTTAGAGATTGAAACAAGAGAAAAAAGCAGATTCTGTAGCGATAGAACTGTTGAAATCAGGAAGATTTAATACAATTTCTTGTAATTAATGGAATTGCTTGCAGTTAATAAAGCTGGTCGTAATCACTGAAAAGTCTGAATAGATTCCAGTGGTTCCAACTGACTCTGACTCATTCTACCTGATTTCCATGATTCTATCACTACGACTGATTCATGCGTGCGGGAAGGCTTCCACTTGAATACATTCTTTATTTCATTGCGATAAAATTGTACGGGAAAAATTGCCGTGATCAAACTGCTACATTTATCATTATTCTTAACAAAATTAGAACTTTTTCTTCGTTGATCTCGCCTATTATCCTTGGGCTGACCTAAATCATTATTCAAGTTTCTATGATACAGACCTTTTATTGAAGCGATAGTTCTTGCAATCAAACTAGTTGTGCAACTATCATTGACGCTCGTTTTTTCTAGTGTTGTCTAAGAATTTAAAGTTCAATAAATAAGATGCTGCCTACTCATTCAAGGAATGGTTCGTGTCACTACTGACAATAATCAAAAGCACGTTCCATTTTTGATGAATGAATTCCATTAGAAAGTCTATCTACACCAATGTAGAAACGATGAAATTTTGACAAGAATGTTTTTTCAAAGAGAGAAATCGAAGGTGTTAATAGCATTCTGGATAAATAAAAATCTTACATTATACACTTTCTTCTGTATTATTGATTTGACATATTATGTGAAGATTCACGCTGTTCCAATGAGGCATAAAATCTTTATGGAATGGTCATTCACTCATTCATAAGACTAGAAAATGACAAAAAATGTTTCAACCAATGAAGTAAAATCAATCTTTTTAGATTGCAATAAAAATCTGCACATCGCCATCATAAAGATTTCAAACATAGGAAAAAGATATGCACCAGTCCGACTGGATACCCAGTCATGACTGGTACCCAGTCGGACTGGTACCCAGTCATGACTGGTACCCAGTCGGACTGGTACCCAGTCATGACTGGTACCCAGTCGGACTGGTACCCAGTCATGACTGGTACCCAGTCGGACTGGTACCCAGT